TGCCATCGTGCCGGGATCTTCAGCTCTCAATGGAGCGGTTCACAGTCGAGTGGGAAGCAGCTGGGATGAAGATCAGACTTTCAAATCAGAGGTCATGCAGTCACAAAAGGRTGGATTGCACTGGGTTGGACATGAGGTGCTGTCTCAAATGGAGGAGTTTAAGTWTCTTGGGGTTTTGTTAAGTGAGGGACGAATCAGTCTGATCAACTGATAGATCAGTGAGGATTCTGCTGTGTACTTTGTACCAGTCTGTTGTGGTGAAGAAGGTATGAAGCTCTTCTTTTAATGGTTTGTCTACGTTCCTACCCTCAACTATGGTCAGGAACGTTTGGTATAGTGACCAAAAGAACAAGATTGCAAGCTATCAAGATTGGTTTTCTCTACATGGTAGCTGGACTCTCCCTTAGAAACATTTCTCAGAGAGACTCAGTATAGATGCTCCTCTACATCGAGAGGAGCCAGGTGAGGTGGTTCCAGCATCTGATAAGGYTTTAAAGACATTTCCTTAAGGAGGTGCATGCATGTCCAACTAAGAGGAAACCCCAGGGTAGACCCAGGAAACACTGAAGAGACTATGTCTCTCGGCTGGTCTGGAAACTCCTTAAAATCCTCCCAGAAGAGCTAGAGGAGGTGGCTGTGGGAAAATATGTCTGGGTATTACTGCTCAAGCTGCCGCCCCCGCAACACGACTGCCACGAGAAAATGAATAGATGTCAAAAACAGAGAYTTCTAAAATCTCATCAAAAAGCTTATTCATTAGCATTTGCATGAACCGCAATGAAGCTTTTTAAATTGGAGCTTCCCTTTTAAAAAAAAAAACACAGCAGACATCCATTTTTGTCTTGGCCCAGCTCAGTCTGAACAATTCCTTCAGAATTAAAGTATTTCTTTAAACTGATGTTGCTTAAAGAGCTAACTACATCAAATAATATAATAATGGTTCAGAACCTTCCAGCATGTCAAATATACAAATATTTGCCTTTAAAACATGCCGTATTTTCACCTTGTCTAATTATAGTGATGGTTTTTGGCATCTTGAGGCGAGTTGGCAGAGGGACTAGATATTTTCTGACCACAGATGGTGAAAGAAAAAAACTGTCTCTGCTCCTATTCACACTACTGACAGTACAAAAAGAAGGTGTAAATCTTTTTAGAACAGAATAAATAAGAACTTATGTTGTTTTCGGTGCTTCTCGTGTGACAAAAATACATGTGAAACCTGGCTGATTTWWAAAAAAAAGCGAAACAGAGTTAGAGGTTCAAAAGCAAACGTAAAGTTTCTGTCTTGATGAGAACCATATAAAAAAGTAATCTGAGATTTGACGTTCCCTCAGTGTGGTGGGATGTCATAGGTCGGTGGTGCTGTTGGGTGCCGCCTCCTTTCTGAGAAGATGTACATGGTGTTGTGGCTGCCCGTCTGCAAGCCGGTAACACTGGAGCCGTGAATGATGACGCCATGAGGAGAAGAGTGAGGGCAGGGGAAAGTTTCAGGGCTGGAAAACTGACGCTGCAAAGAGGAGAAAAACAGGCTAGTAACAGGCCAAACACATACAGATTATTGAGTCTAAACTCTATTTTTATTTAAACCTTTATTTTCACTTGGGATACATTGAGGGTGCTCCTCATTTCTAATGTAGCCAAACATTTATGCATGCACGTCAAGTTGTACGGATTGTCTGTAATTTACACATATTTCCCCTCATTTTGCAGATATGTGGACATATAGATTTTTTCATGTTTTACGGGGTTTTTTCAAAAACTCAGTTTCAAATTTGTTTAACATGTCAGAGTCTGTAGGGTGTTAAAAAACAATACCATCAAACATACATTTCCTAGCCACTCTGCTGCTAGAAATAAGTTATTTTGTCCACATTTTCGTCTGATTTTGCAGCTGACAGTCCTCCGGATTTTTTGTGAAAATTACAGATTTTTGAGGCTCATTATACAGGTAAAGGTCTGAAGGGGTTGGCACATGTTTACAATTAAAAACAGTTCAAAATAATCAGGCAAATAAAATACAGTGGAGACAGAGGATAAAATAAACAATAAAAACTGATTGTTAAAAGAAACCATAAAACCAACTAAAAGGCTCCACTGAGGTGTCTAAAGCAGTGTTTTTCCAAAGTGGGTGCCACCAGGGGGCACTAAGGAGTGTTTCAAAGAGCTTGAGGGAAGATAAGGAAAAAGAAAAAAGAAAACTATTTCATCTCAATATTTTACATC